AGGCACATCTGCAGGGCTGGGCCCAGCTCTGGCTCCTCAGCACAGCAGGCACAGGGAGCTCCTGCAGCGGCTCCAGCGCAGGCTGGGAGGATGAGGAGGGCACTGGAGCATCTCCCTGCCCAGGAAAGGCTGAGGGAGCTGGGGCTGTTGAGCCTCCAGAGCACCCCCTGAGAGGGGCCCTCCCCAGGGTGTGTCAGGGGCTGCAGGGAGGGGGCAGAGGATGGCCCAGGCTCTGCTCGGGGGGGCCCAGCAATGGCACGAGAGGAACGGGCAGGAACTGATGCCCAGGAAGCTCCAGCTGGACAGGAGGAAGAACTTCTTCCCTGGGCAGTGACCCAGCTCTGAACAGGCTGCCCAGGGAGGGGCTGGGGTCTCCTCCCTGGGGATATTCCAGAGCCCTCTGGACACAATCCTGTGCCCTGTGCTCTGGGCTGGCCCTGCTGGACCAGTGACCCACTGGGGTCCCTTCCAACCTGACCCATCCTGGAATTCTATCCCACTCTGTTCCTGTCCTGTTCCTCAAGGCACCCCAGGGCAGGGTGGGGATGGGGAAAGGCTGAGGCTCAGCAGAAACACCAGCAGTGATGGGAGTGCTCTGAGTGGGAGGACAGGGAGGTTATTTTTGAGTTCTTTTGTCTTCTACCTTGCTTGTTAATTCATCCCATTAGAGCTGTGTTTCCTTTAGGATTTATGCCTTACCCCACGTTGCCAACAACACCTCTTCCACCCCTCAGCCTGAGTGTCCAGCATCCCAGTAAATAATCCTGAACAGCCTGGGCTAGTGGAAGGTGTCCCTGCCCAGGGCAAGGGTTTGGAACAAGATGAGCTCTAAGGTCCCTTCCAACCCAAACTGTTCTAGGATTCTGTGATAATATTTCCATGCAAAATGAGCCAAACTCCTCTGAGTGCCCCTTTCTGTCTCTCATAGTCTTCAAGTTTTAATAATGCAAATATTTCATGAGAACATTTAAAGCTCTGCTCTGACTCTGAAGGCACTTTGAAGCTGTTTCCAGTGTTGGTGTTAAGTTTAAGCTCTAGACGTTGGTCATCCTGTTAAGTTTGCATTTGGGAGTCTGTTCCAAAATGTTAATTGGTGCTCTTGATGAGGTTTTCCTCATATCCTGGCTGGAAAGGGCTCAGCAGATGGGATGTTGAATGGGAAAGTTCTGCTGCTTTCCTTCAGAGCAGTGTAATGGCTTGGGAGAAGAATGTGCTGCTCATGTCTCTTTTTTTCCACTGAATCCTGCAGGGTGGCTGGGATTGCTGGGTGTGGGGTTGTCCCTCTGGCCCTACACAGAAGGTCCATCCCAGACAGCAAAGAGGAGCAGGTGGTTTGTTCCCAGTATCACTCCACAGGGAGTTTAACACAGTTTCCCCTCAAAGTGAACTAATTCAGTATTTCTGAGCAGCAGCAGCCTGTGTGGGGAGCATGGGCTGAGTCAGGTAAGCCCAGCAAGTGTCAATTGGAGAGGGCAGTAATTGGGATAAACTGGTTAATTCCACGTACCTCTAACTCATCGTCCTGTAACTGTCACTTGGCACTTCAGAGGGATCCTGGAAGCAGCAGCTCTAGAATGCTGATATTCCTGATGGTTACAACCTGAATGCAAGGAAACAGCTTTCCAGGGGGCTGTGCTGACAGGTTTTGTGTATTTATTCATATATTTACCTCCTGTGGGTGAAATGGGAGGCAGGAGAGGAACTCTCCCATATGGAATGCAGCTGGTTGTCTTCTCCTACCCCCATGGGAAGCTGGAAGTATTAAGCTGGAAGATGGAAGGCTCAGGTTGAGGCTCATCCCAGGGCTTGCTTTATGTGCTTAAGCTTGACATAAAGCAGAACTGCTACTGAAAGAAGCTTTCTTCTTTTTGGTTGCTTTTGCAGATCCTGTGCTTGGG